TCTCCCCGGGAAGTGCGTTCCACAGGCGGGGGGCCGCCACTGAGAAGGCCCTGCTCCTCGTCCCCGCCAGCCTCACTTGTGATACTGGCGGGGTCGAGAGCAGGGCCTCCCCAGAAGATCTTAAACTTCGAGGTGGGATGTAGAGGGAGATCCGTTTGGACAAATACACTGGGCCGGAACCGTATAGAAGGAAGGAAGGAAAGGAAAGAAAGAGGAGGGAAGGAAGAAAAGGAAGGAAAAGAAAAAGGAAGGAAGGAATGAAAGAAAAGAGGGAGGAAGGAAAGAAGAAAGAGGAAGGAAGGAAAGAAAGGAGGGAAGGAAGGGAAAGAAAGGAGAAGGAAGAAGGAAAGAAAAGAGTGAAGGAAGGAAGGAAAGGAGGGAAGGAAGGGAGGGAGGAAGGAAGGGATAGAGGGAAGGAAGGAAGAATCCTAGAGTTGGAGGAGACCATCTAGTCCAACTCCCTTCTGCCGTACAGGAAAAGCACCATCCAGTCCTTCCCTTTCCTGTCTTCCCCGCAGAATCCAAAGACGAAGGGTCTCCCCCCAAGTTGAAGTGCGAGCTCTGCGGCCGCCTCGACTTCGCCTACAAGTTCAAGCGCTCGAAGCGCTTCTGCTCCATGGCCTGCGCCAAGAGGTCAGTAACGTTTCCTCCTCAGACGTCGACGGTGTGCATTATTGCGGCGCCGTTGGGGGTAGGTCCTGGGTGCCTGGCGTGGGCCCCTCTTGACTACTTTCCCTCCCTGTTTGGTGGCAGGTACAACGTGGGCTGCACAAAGCGCGTGGGGCTCTTCCACCCGGACCGGAACAAGCCTCCGAAGCAGAGCGCCACGCCACACAACCGGCGCCGGAACAGCAAGACCTCCCTGCCGGTGCTCGGCAAGGAGAGCAAGAAACAGGTATGGCTGCCTCCTGGCCGTGGCCCAAAAGACCCCCTATTTATTTTTATTTGTCGTGTCAGAACAGCCAGTCCATTATATTACATTTCTAACAGAACAAAGCAAACAAACAGAGAAAATACACAACTTGTGAGTTTGGTAGTTGGTTAAATGTCCTTTGACCAGTATTTGGCCTTTTGGAGTGCTTCCGGTGTTGCTGCAAGAAGGTCCTCCATTGTGCATGTGGCAGGGCTCAGGTTGCATTGCAGCAGGTGGTCAGTGGTTTGCTCTTCTCCACACTCGCATGTTGAGGATTCCACTTTGTAGCCCCATTTCTGAAGGTTGGCTCTGCATCTCGTGGTGCCAGAGCGCAGTCTGTTCAATGCCTTCCAAGTCGCCCAGTCTTCTGTGTGCCCAGGAGGGAGTCTCTCATTTGGTATCAGCCATTGGTTGAGGTGCTGGGTTTGAGCCTGCCACTTTTGGACTCTCGCTTGCTGAGGTGTTCCAGCAAGTATCTCTGTAGATCTTAGAAAACTATTTCTAGATTTAAGTCGTTGACGTGCTGGCTGATACCCAAACAAGGGATGAGCTGGAGATGTCTCTGCCTTGGTCCTTTCACTATTGGCTGCCACTTCCCGGCGGATGTCAGGTGGTGCAATACCGGCTAAGCAGTGTAATTTCTCCAGTGGTGTAGGGCGCAGACACCCCGTGATAATGCGGCATGTCTCATTAAGAGCCACATCCACTGTTTTAGTATGGTGAGATGTGTTCCACACTGGGCATGCATACTCAGCAGCAGAGTAGCACAGCGCAAGGGCAGATGTCTTCACTGTATCTGGTTGTGATCCCCAGGTTGTGCCAGTCAGTTTTCGTATGATATTGTTTCTAGCACCCACTTTTTGCTTGATGTTCAGCAGTGCTTCTTGTAAGTGAGAGCACGGTCCAGAGTGACTCCCAGGTATTTGGGTGCGCTGCAATGCTCCAGTGGGATTCCTTCCCAGGTAATAATCCTCAGAGCTCGGGGTGCTTCTCTGTTCTTGAGATGAAAGGCACATGTCTGTGTTCTAGATGGATTAGGGATCAGTTGGTTTTTCCTGTAGTAGGCGGTAAGGGCACCTAGAGCTTCGGAGAGCTTCTGTTCTACCATCTCAAAGCTCCCTGCTTGAGCTGTGATGGCACGATCATCAGCATAGATGAAGCTCTCTGTCCCTTCTGGCAGTGGCTGGTCATTTGTGTAGATGTTGAACATGGATGGAGCAAGCACGCTCCCCTGAGGCAGGCCGTTCTTCTGTTTCCGCCATCTGCTTCTCTGGCCCTGGAACTCAACAAAAAAGCTCCTGTTTTGTAGCAGGTTTCCTATGAGGCGGGTGAGGTGGTCGTCCTTTGTGATACTATACATTTTTCTCAGGAGGAGGCGGTGGTTCACAGTATCATAAGCCGCTGACAGGTCTATGAAGACAGCGCCTGTGATCTGCTGCCTTTCAAAGCCATCTTCTATGTGCTGAGTCAGGTTCAGCACTTGCGATGTGCAGCTTCTGCCTTTTCTGAAGCCAGCTTGCTGTGGGATCAGACAGGGGTCTATTTTTTCCATAATTCTATGCAAAATAAGTCTCTCCAGAACTTTGTAGAGGTGGCACAACAGGGAGATTGGTCCGAGAATGATGGTCCTCCAAGATTGAAAGGACCCCCTCATCCCACAGAAGACCCTTGACTGGGACCCCAGGGTCCCTCGGGCGCCCCCTGCCCACTCCTCTCTCTTCTCTCTCGCTCACTGTTTTCACTGGGTTTTTCAGGTCTGTCATGTCCTTCTTTCCTTCCTTTTTCTTTCCTTCTTTCCTTTCTTTTTCCTTCCTTTTTTCCTCCTTGCTTTCTTTTTCCTTCCTTCCTTTCTCGCTTGTTTTCTTTCTTCTATTTTTCCTTCCTTCCTCTTTTGCTTCCTTCTTTCCTTTCTTTTGTTCTTCCTTGCTTTCTTCTATTTTTCCTTCCTTCCCCCCCCCCTTCTTTCCTTTCTTCCTTTTTCCTTCCTTCCTTGCTTCACATAATAGACCCATTTAGAAATTGAATCATTTTTGTCATGCATTTCTTTTTCCCTCCCTCCCTCCCTTTCTTTACTTTATTACTTGCTTTCTTCTATTTTTCCCTTCCTTCCTTCCTTTCCCCCTCCTTCCTTTCTTTTTCCCTTCCTTCCTTCCTTGCTTACTTGCTTTCTTCTATTTTTCCTTCCTTCCTTTCCCCCTTCCTTCCTTTCTTTTTCCCTTCCTTCCTTGCTTGCTTTCTTCTATTTTCCTTCCTTACTTCTCTCCTTCCTTCTTTCCTTTCTTCCTCTTTTCTTTCCTTCCTTCCTTCCTTTTTCTTTCTTTCCTTTCCTTCCTTTTTCCTTCCTTGATTTCTTTCTTTTTCCTCCCTTCCCCTCCCTCCCTCCTTCCTTCCTTGTTTTCTTTCTTCTATTTTTCCTTCCTTCCTCTTTTGCTTCCTTCTTTCCTTTCTTTTGTTCTTCCTTGCTTTCTTCTATTTTTCCTTCCTTCCCCCCCCCCTTCTTTCCTTTCTTCCTTTTTCCTTCCTTCCTTGCTTCACATAATAGACCCATTTAGAAATTGAATCATTTTTGTCATGCATTTCTTTTTCCTCCTCCCTCCCTTTCTTTCTTTATTCTTCTTTCTTCTTTTTCCCTTCCTTCCTTCCTTTCCCTCCTTCCTTTCCTTCTTTTTCCTTCCTTCCTTCCTGCTTACTTGCTTTCTTCTATTTTTCCTTCCTTCCTTTCCCCCTTCCTTCCTTTCTTTTTCCCTTCCTTCCTTGCTTGCTTTCTTCTATTTTCCTTCCTTACTTCTCTCCTTCCTTCTTTCCTTTCTTCCTCTTTTCTTTCCTTCCTTCCTTCCTTTTTCTTTCTTTCCTTTCCTTCCTTTTTCCTTCCTTGATTTCTTTCTTTTTCCTCCCTTCCCCTCCCTCCCTCCTTCCTTCCTTGTTTTCTTTCTTCTATTTTTCCTTTCTTCCTCTTTTCCTTCCTTGATTTCTTTCTTTTTCCTCCCTTCTCCTCCCTCCCTCCTTCCTCCCTCGCTTGTTTTCTTTCTTCTATTTTCCCTTCCTCTTTTCCTTCCTTCTTTCCTTCCTGCCTTCTTTCCTTTCTTTTGTTCTTCCTTGCTTCCTTACGTTTTTCCTTCCTTCCTTCTTGCTTCTTCTATTTTTCCTTCCTTTCCCCTTCTTTCCTTCCTTCCTTCTCTTTTTTTCTCCTTTTTTTCTTTTCTTCTTCCTTTTTCCTTCCTTCTTCTTCCTTCCTCTTTTTCTTTCCTTCCTTCTCTTCCTTTTTCTTCCTTGATTTCTTTCTTTTTCCTCCCCTCCCTTCCTTGCTTCCTTGCTTGTTTTCTTTCTTCTATTTTTCCTTCCTTCCTTTCTTTTGTTCTTCCTTGCTTCCTTACTTTTTTCCTTCCTTGCTTGCTTGATTTCTTCTATTTTTCCTTCCTTTCCTCCCTCCCTTCCTTCCTTCCTCCCTCCCTTCCTTCCTTCTTTGCTTGCTTGCTTGCTTGCTTTTACTCTTCCTTTCTTCCTTGTTTGCTGTTTTCTATTTTTCCTTACTTCCTTGCTTCATTGCTTCCTTCCTTGCTTCTATTTTTCCTTCCTTCCTTCTTTTCTTCCTTCCTTTTTTCCTTCCTTTTTTCCCTTCCTCGCATGCATGCTTGCTTCTATTTTTCCTTCCTTCCATCTTCCTTTCTTTCTTTCTTTCTTTCTTTCTTTCCTTTCTTCTTTCCTTTCTTCCTTTTCCCCTTCCTTCTTTTTTCTTCCTTCCTTTCTTCCTTTTTTCTTCCTGCATTCCTTTTTCCTTCTCTCTTTCTTTCCTTCCTTCCTTTGTTCCTTTCTTCCTTTTCCCTTTCTTTTTCCTTCCTTCTTTCCTTTCTTCTATTTTTACTTCCTTCCTTTTGTTTTTTAAAAAAAATAAAATTAGATTCCATACGTCGAGCATAACATATATTTGGATTACAGGAAAAAGGGAAAAACAAAGTCATTTCACATATTTAGTCATACCATTCTTTTATCCTTTCTTCCTTTTTTTCGATCCTTTCTTTCTTTCTTTCTTTCTTTGTCTTACCAATTATTTTTTTAAAAATTTCCTCCTTGTTATTTATCCTTATTAACCTTGTTATTTATCCTTATTAATCCTTGTTATTTATCCTTATTATCCTTATTTATCCTTATTAACATGTACCGTACAAATAAGAATAGCAACAATAGTAATAGCAATTGTACATATAGTAATAATAATAATAATAATAGCAACTGTAAATACAAAATAATACATAATAATAAATTAGTATGTAAATACATAATAATAATAGCAATTGTAAATACAAATAATAATAATCATGATAATAGCAATTGTAATTACAAATAATGATAATAGCAAGAATAATAGCAATTATAAATACAAGTAATGATAATAGCAATTGTAAATAGAAATAATAATAATAATAACAGCATAATAGATATTATAAATGCAAATAATAATAATAAGTTATTATGAATACAAAATAATTACTAAATGTTAATTTCATCCATCTATATATATAAAATCCAAAAGGGCGTTGTTAGGGGCCGCAAAACGCGAAAACCCCCAGATGAAAAATCACCAAACTTGGCGTACGCATACCTGCGCACCTTCGTGGCTCGGTGTCTGGCTCCAGGGAAGGAAGGACGCCACCATCGAGGACGATGAGGAACGGGAAGGAGGGAAGGAAGCGGGTGAGGGAAGGAAGGACGGAAATGAGGGGAAGGGGTGTAAATAGGAAGGAAGGAAGAAGGAAGGAAGGAAGGAAGGAAGGAAGGAAGGAAGGAAAGAAGGAAGGCAGGTATATCAGAGAAGAAAGGTAGGAAATAAACAAAAGGAGGGAAGGGGAAGGGAAGGTGTATGAAAAAAGGAAGGAAGGAGAAGTTGGGAAAGTATATGAGGGAAGAAAGGTAGGAAAGAAAGAAGAAAGAGAGAGTAGGAGCATGGGAAAGAAGGGAGAAAGGAAGGAAGGAAGAAGAAAGGAGCGGAAGGGAAGGTGTAGGAACGAAGGAAAGGAAGGAAGAAAGACAGAAGAAAAGGGAAGGGAGGAAAGAAGGCAAATGAAGAAGAGAAAGGGAGAGGAAGAAGAAGAAAGAAAGAAAGAAAGAAAGAAAGAAGAAAAGGAAAAGGAAAGAAGGAAAGAAAAGAAATCTGCACATCAAAGGAGAGGAGAAAGGTGCCTTTTATACCTAGTCAACATATTTTGAAGCCATTTCACCAGGTAAAAAAGAGAATGGGAGAGAAAAATAATGAGGGCAGAAGGGAATGCCTATAGGATATGTTTACGATTCTAGTGTTTACTATCTACAAAGTTTAGTGAGTTGAAACATGAAAGGAAGAAAGGAAAGAAAGAGGAAGGAAGGAAGGAAGGAAGGAAGGAAGGAAAAAAGAAAAAAAAAAAAAAGAAAGAAAGAAAGAAAGAAAGAAAGAAAGAAAGAAAGAAAAGGAAGTATGGAACTACAGAGCAAAGGAAGGAAGGAAAGAGAAAGAGAGGGAAGAAAGGAGACAAAGAGGATGGAAAAGAAAAAGGGAGGAGGAAGAAGAGGTACAGAAGGAAGGAAGGAGAGAAAAAAAAAAAAGGGAAAAAGGAAGGAGGAAAGAAAGGAAAGTATATGAGGGGAGAAAGGGAGGAAAGAAAGAAGAATAAGAATTAGCAGAGATTTAAGCTGTGGCACAAAGAAATAATTAAAAATGACAGAATACCCTGAGAGTAAATAGAAGCAAATTAAGAAGGGATGAGAGTGGCGGTCTATAAGTGCAAGAAATAAATAAATAAATAAATACATAAATTATTATTGATGACTATTACATTATTATTAATTAATTAAATAAGTAATTCATTTATATCAGAAGAAAGAAGGAAATATTAAGAGAATGTTGATTAAGCTCTTTATTTTTTCTGTTTAGTTATATTTTTAAATTATATGATGGAATAAGTTATTGAAATAAAGAAGAGAATATTAGGAGTCATGTGAAAGAAGGGAGGAAATGTGAAGTATTATAAGAACGTAGTTGTAATTGAATTTTATACCGAAGTACATTAATTAGAAAAGTCAATGGTATGAATAATCAAATTTGAAGAGATAAATGTTATTAATTAAAGAAAAAAATTAATTGGGAATACAACATTATTTAAAAGAAAACCTACAGGATGATATGTAGACAAGATTAAGTAAATAAAAATTTATTATGAATAAATATTTACATAATTAATTATTATATAATTACATAAAAATTTAATTTATAAAATATCTCAGCAAATTAAAAATATAAATAAGAAGAAAAGAAAGAAATAAGAAGGAAGATGAAAGCAAACAGCTAAGGAAGGAAGTAAACAGGTAGAGAAGGAAGAAAGGAAAGAAGAAAATGAAGGAAGGAGTGAAAGAAGCAGAGAAAGAGGGAGAGAAGGCTGGCCACAGCAACGCGTGGCGGGTAAAGCTAGTATTATATATAATCATATATCTATCTTTCTACCTATATCATATATATAGTATGAAATCTTTAGAAGGAGTAAAACCGAATGCCCGTGTCGCAAAAATATGTGCATTGTAATCCACCCTGAGTCCTCTGCGGGGTGAGAAGGGCAGAATATAAATACTGTAAATAAATAAATAATAAGGTATCTTGTTGGATGGCCATCTGTCAGGGGTGATTTGAATGCAACATTCCTGCTTCTTGGCAGAATGGGGTTGGACTGGATGGCCCATGAGGTCTCTTCCAACTCTTTGATTCTATGATTATGCTTGCATACACATTGCAGCCGGTGCATTAATGCATTGCGATGCATGGTTTGCAAGGTTTTGGTGGATAGTGCGAGTCAATGCAACAAACTAGTGCGTGCGTAGCCAGCATGGTGGGTGACTCGTTCTCGCTCTGATTCTCCTTGCAGGTGTCGCCCGCGTTGCCCCCCACCTCGGGCCCGGGTCCCTTGCAACAGCAGCAGCAGCACCTGTCCCGGGCGGCCCAGGAGGACTCCAGCCGCGGCTCCGACAACTCTAGCTACGAGGAGCCGCTCTCCCCGCTCTCGGCCAGCTCCTCCACCTCCCGCCGCCGCCGCTGCCCCTCCGAGCGCGAGGTGGAGCTGACCGACGTCCGCGTGCGCGACCTGGTGGCCATCGGGCACCACTTCCTGCCCAGCGAGCCCCACAAGTGGAACGTGGAGGACGTCCACGAATTCATACGCTCCCTTCCCGGTAAGGCCCCATGGCACACTCTCAACACCGGAGGAGGCTCCGGCCTTTCCCTTCCTTCCTCCTTTCTGTCCTTCCTTTTCATCCCCATCCACTCCATCTTTCCTTTCCCTCCCAGTTGCACTCCAGAGCAGGATTCCCTCCGACTTTAAACACCATACGGTTGAGATAAAATAGCAAGCAGTTTATTGAAGGGTAAAAAAGCCAAAGCAATAAAAAGTAATCCACAGTAAAAGATTGGGAAGTAAAAAGATAGGGCAAGTTATAAATCTATATATATAAATCTGTAAGGGGCATCCAACGGGACAGCAAAACTCAAAAACCACCCAACGAAAATTAACCAAAATTCCCATGCACATACCTCAACCCACAAGGTACAAACATATCGAATCAAAATAAAAAACAACACGACAACACACTCACAAAAGGACGAAACAACTGAGTATGCGCAATGGCGCAAAGTCCTTGGCGCGCGCACATGGCCAAACGGCCAGCGCACCCTCTGCACCTCTCTCCCCCCTCCGCCGAAGCCCCGCCCAAACTCACCGACACCCCGCCCCTGCACTCCTCCTCCCACCCCCTCTGCCGAAGCCCCGCCCACACCCACCAATGTCCCGCCCATGCACTCCTCCTCCTCCCACCCCCCTCCACCAAAGCCCCGCCCACACCCACCGAAGCCCCGCCCATACACTCCTCCTCCTCCCACCCCCCTCCACCAAAGCCCCGCCCACACCCACTGACGCCCCGCCCATGCACTCCTACTCCTCCTCCCACCCCCTCCGCCGAAGCCCCGCCCACACCCACCAACGCCCCATGCACCCTCCGCACCTCCCTCCCCCCTCCGCCGAAGCCCCGCCCACACCTACCGACATCCCGCCCCTGCACTCCTCCTCCTCCCACCCCCCTCCGCCGAAGCCCCGCCCACACCCACCGACGCCCCGCCCCTGCACTCCTCCTCCTCCCACCCCCCTCCGCCGAAGCCCCGCCCACACCCACCGACGCCCCGCCCCTGCACTCCTCCTCCTCCCACCCCCCTCCGCCGAAGCCCCGCCCACACCCACCGACGCCCCGCCCCTGCACTCCTCCTCCTCCCACCCCCCTCCGCCGAAGCCCCGCCCACACCCACCGACGCCCCGCACTCCTCCTCCTCCCACCCCCCTCCACCAAAGCCCCGCCCACACCCAACGGCCGCCCCTGCACTCCTCCCACCCCCCTCCGCCAAAGCCCCGCCCACACCCACCGACCCCGCCCTGCACTCCTCCTCCCCCCCTCCGCCAAAGCCCCGCCCACACCCACCGACGCCCCCCTGCGCTCCTCCCCCCCCCCACCCCCCTCCTCCGAAGCCCCGCCCACACCCACCGACGCCCCACCCATGCACTCCTCCTCCTCCTCCCACCCCCCTCCGCCGAAGCCCCGCCCACACCCACCGACGCCCCGCCCATGCACTCCTCCTCCTCCTCCTCCCACCCCCCTCCGTTGAAGCTGCTGGGATTTATAGTTTACCTATAATCAAAGCATTCTGAACTCCACCAATGACGGAATTAAACCAAACGTGGCACACAGGACTCCCAAGACCCAACATAAAGCACGAGAAGGGTTTGGTAAGCAATGGGAAGGAAGAAAGGAAGGAGGGAAGGCAGGAAAGAAAGAGGTACCGAAGGAAGGAAGAAGAGAAATTATTATTATTATTATTATTATTATTATTATTATTATTTCCTCCCTCCCTCGGGCACCTTCATTTTAGTCCTTCCTTCCCTTTCTATCTTTCCTTTCCATACCTATCAACTCCTCCTTTCCTTTCCCTCCCTGTTGCACTCCAGAGCAGGATTCCCTCTGACTTTAAAAACCATACAGTTGAGATAAAATAGCAAGCAGTTTATTGAAGGGTAAAAAAGCCAAAGCAATAAAAAGTAATCCACAGTAAAAGGTAAATCCAATTGATTAGGGAGTAAAAAGATAGGGCACATTATAAATAAAGTGTTATTATTATTATTATTATTATTATTATTATTATTATTATTATTACTATTATTATTTCCTCCCTCCCTCCCTTGGGCACCTTCATTTCAGTCCTTCCCCTGTCTTTCCTTCCGTCCGTCCTTCCCTTCCTTCCTCTTTCTGTCCTTCCTTTCCATCCCCTCTTTCCTTCCTTACCTTTCTCTTTCCCTCCCTCCCTGTCTGTCCTTTCTTTTCCTCCCTCTTTCCTTTTCCTTCCTTTCCTCCTTTCTCTCTTTCCCTCTCTCCCTTGAAGGAGACATCTCATCCATCCTTCTCCCCTTTCTGACCTTTCTTTTCACCCCTCCCTCCCTCTGTCTTTCCTTTCCCTTTCTTTCTTTCTTCTCTTTTCTCCTCTCCTTTCTTTCCTTCCTCTTACTTGTGGGTAAGGGGGTGGTGGTGGTGGACATATACTCCAATGACAAAACGTTGAGGCTAAGCAATAGTATGAGAATGTAAACCTATTCATCAAAAGCGCAGCGGAAGAGCCAGGTTTTAAGGTCCTTTTTAAAGGTTTCTAAGGTAGGGGCCAATCCAGATACTTAGACTCCCAGATCCATATGTGCTCAATCCAGACACTGTGSATGCAGCCTAGAATCAGATTGGCTTTATTAGCAGCCACATCACAGTGTTGACTCATGTTCACCTTGGGGTGCAGTAAGACTCCCAGATCCATATTTGGTCAATCCGGACACCTCCCATATGACTTCTCTTGATGTCAACACTGTATTCCTGCTGATACAAGTCAAAACTTGTGCGCCAGCTGCGCCCGTACCTTGGGAAGTCTGACTTGGCCACAGTGGTCCACACTCTGGTTACATCCAGTATAGACTACTGAAACCCTCTCTATGTGGGGTTGCCTTTGAAGACTGTCCAGAAGCTTCAAGTACGTTTGGCGGGGACAAGAGACAGGGCCTTCTCAGTGGTGGCCCCTCGGCTGTGGAACGCTCTTCCTACAGATATTAGATCGGCCCCCTCCCTGTTGACATCTGGGGATGCCCTGCTCTCGGTCCCGGCTGCGTCACAAGTACGTTTGGCGGGGACAAGAGACAGGGCCTTCTCAGTGGTGGCCCCTCGGCTGTGGAACGCCCTTCCTACAGATAATAGATCGGCCCCCTCCCTGTTGACATTTCGGAGGAAAGTGAAGACCTGGTTGTTTGAGCAGGCATTTGAATAGGCAGTGTAACGAACATAGGAATATGGAAGAATTGGATGATGAGACTGGATTTCGATCTTAACTATGAGTCGCGAATGAGATGTTTTTATTGATTTATATTAACTGTTTATTATGCTACTGTTTTAATTGTTTTGTGATGGTTTTGAGCATTGAATTTGGCTGTGGTTAACCGCACAGAGTCGCCCGAGGGCTGAGAAGAGCGGTATACAAAAATAATAAATAAATGAATAATACAGCTTGGCTCGAGACTGACCTCCCCGCCGGTCTTTGTCCCCTAGGCTGCCAGGAGATTGCGGAGGAGTTCCGCGCCCAGGAGATTGATGGGCAGGCGCTGCTGCTGCTGAAGGAGGACCACCTCATGAGTGCCATGAACATCAAGCTGGGCCCGGCCCTCAAGATCTACGCCCGCATCTGCATGCTGAAGGACTCCTAGGCGGCCCCTCTGTTCTGGCCGCCGGCACTCGAGCACAATTCCCCCCTTGGGAGCGGGGGGTGGTGTACATACATAGGTAGCCTTAGCTTCCCTTCCTCTCCTCCTCCTTTTCCTCTTCCTCCTCCTCAGGTGCAAAAGATGCCATTTTCGGGGGGAACGCCGCGTGCGTCTCGGCCTCCCCTGCTTTTTGTATCAGAAGCTGGATCGGACACAACCTACTTGAAACCTCAGAAAGCCAAACAGGACCGTTGCCTTAACTTTTTTTGTATCGTGTAGGCGTGCGTGTGTGTGCGTGTGGTGCCGCTTAGTGCCCTCCTCCCCGTCCCTTTTTTTAGGGGTCCGTAGCGAGTTTAGGGTCCTCATTTGGGTCAGGAGAGCAGACAGGGTCAAAGCGGCCGCTGCGGGGGGCTCGACGCTCATGACTTGTTGGAGAGGGTCGACTCTTCGGCTAGCTTCCGGACCAGGTTTGCTCCCTTCGCGGCCTTAACAGGCCCCTCACGACTCTCGCCCTCCACTCCCTCCCTCCTTAGCATCATAGATTTGGAAGACTATTCCTTCCCTCGGCCTCGTTTTCTGTTGACACAGGCTAGAATTGCATTGGCCTTTTTCGCTGCCGCATCACACCGTCGGCTGATGCTCCTCTTGAGGTCTCCATTTGGTCTCCTAGATCCATTTCAGCATTATCATTCATCCTCCCCTCAGTCTAGACACTTGAATCCTAAGGCTGAAGTTTAGGATTGTATTGGCCTTTTCTGCTGCAGCATTACACTTTTGGCTAATAATAATAATAATAATAATAATAATAATAATAATAATAATAATAATACCTTCTTCATGGTCTATTAAGACTTCCAGATCTCATTCAGTCACTTCCCTGGGCATTCTATTCCTATGAATGCAGTCTAGGATTGCATTGGCCTTTTCTGCTGCAGCATCACACTCTTGGCTTGTTGTTGTTGTTATTATTATTATTATTACTATTATTATTATTATTACTTTGTTCATGACCTATTAAGACTCCTAGATCCCTTTCAATGACTTCCCTAGACTCTGTTTTCCTATGGATGCAGCCTAGGATTGCATTGGCCTTTTCTGCTGCAGCATCACACTCTTGGCTCATAATAATAATAATAATAATAATAATAATAATAATAATAATAATAATAATTCTTTATTCATGGTCTCTTAAGAGTCCTAGATCCCTTTCAATGACTTCCCCAGACGTTCTATTCCTATGGATGCAGCCTAGGATCGCATTGGCCTTTTCCACTGCAGCATCACACTCTTGGCTCATACTAATAATAATAATAATAATAATAATAATAATAATAATAATACCTTCTTCATGGCCTATTAAGACTCATAGATCCCTTTCAATGACTTCCCCAGACATTATATTCCTATGGATGCATCCTAGGATCGCATTAGCCTTTTCCGCTGCAGCATCACACTCTTGGCTCATCATAATAATAGTAATAATATTATTATTAATGTCTTCTTCGTGGCCTATTAAGACTCCTAGATCCCTTTCAATGACTCCCCCAGACATTATATTCCTATGGATGCATCCTAGGATCGCATTGGCCTTTTCTGCTGCAGCACCACACTCTTGGCTCATCATAATAATAGTAATAATAATAATAATAATAATAATAATAATAAATACTAATACCTTGTTCAGGGTGGATTAAGGCTTCCAGATCCCTTTCATGCGATATCATGACTTCCCATGGATGCCGCCCAGGAGCGCCTTGGCCTTTTCTGCTGCAGCCCCACGCCCCGGCCTCGAGGCCCTCCTTCGGCTCCTGGGCCCCTTCCCTTGGCTTTGTTCCCCGCCCCGTTCCTCGAGGCCGGCCAGGCAGGGCAAGGCAGGAGGAGCCGGTTTTCTCCCCGGAAGACAGACAGACAGACAGAGCTGGGCTCAGGTGCATCAGGTTGCAGGAGCGCTGCAGCTGAGCTGCGCCTCCCCCTTTTTTTGGGACTCCCACCCGCCCGCGGCTCCGGCCCCGGAAGAATTTCTACTGTTTCCAACGGCCCCCAGACCCTTGGTTTTTTAAAATAAAAGCTCACTTTTACAGAAACGGATTTGGATCGTGTGTCGTTTTGTGGCATTTGGATTGGACGGGGCCTCCTCGGTGGCAGCCCCTCGCTTGCTAAAATATGCACAACACATCCTGCTGGCCCTGATTGTTTCCTGCCTGTGTTTTCCGGGCTGTATGACCGTGTGGGAAATTGGAAGTTGTAGTTCACCCTTATCCAGAGAGCAGTGAACCCAGCTGATATAATATATTAATATTAATTATTATAATTATATTATTATATTATTATAATTATATTATTTATAATTTATTTATATGATTTTATTTATAATTATATTATTTATATATAATTATATAATTATTATATTATTATTATATAATTATATTATTATAATAAATATAAATATATTATTAGTTGCTTCATTGAATAGTGATATCAACATTGCTTCATCAAAATAATTATATTATTATATTATAATTATATTATTTATAATATATTTATATGATATTATTTATAATTATATTATTATAATTATATAAATTGTAGTTCACCCTTATCCAGAGAGCAGTGAACCCAGCTGATATATTAATATTAATTATTATAATAATTATTATAATTATATTATAATTATAATTATTATATTATTTATAATTTATTTATATGATATTTATAATTACATTATTTATATATAATTACATTATTATAATTATATAATAATTATATTATTATAATTTATTATTATTATATTTATAATTTATTTATATGATATTATTTATAATTATATAATTATAATTATAAATATCAATTGTAGTTCACCCTTATCCAGAGAGCAGTGAACCCAGCTGATATAATATATTAATATTAATTATTATAATTATATTATAATTATTATTTTATTATTATTTTATTATTATTATTATATTATTTATATATAATTATATTATTATAATTATATTATTTATATATAATTACATTATTATATAATAATTATATTATTATAATATATTATATTATATTATTATTATTTATAATTTATTTATATGATATTATTTATAATTATATTATTTATATATAATTATATTATTATAATTATATAATAATTATATTATTATAATTATATAATAATTATATTATTATAATTATAATTATAGATATCAATTGTACTTCACCCTTATCCAGAGAGCAGTGAACCCAGCTGATATAATATATTAGTATTAATTATTATAATTATTATTATTATATTATTATTATATTTTTTAAATTTATTTATATGATATTATTTATAATTATATTATTTATATATAATTATATTATTATATTTATATTATAATTATATAATTATAAATATAAATATATTATTATTAGTCGCTTCATTGAATATTAATATTAACGTTGCTTCATCATAATAATATCGATGTATTGGGAATTCCAGGCAGGAAACAATCAGGGCCAGCAAATACCTCCCAATAAAGGATTCCCACCGAGGCAGGAAGCAGCCAGGCTTTGAAGCTGCTAGGCCATTCAGTGCTACTCAAGGGGGCCAGTTGCTACATTCACACTTGCCTCAAGCAGAGAAGAGTTCTTTCTCTCACCCTGGACCTCATTCCGCAGATATATAAACCCCATTTGCCTAGTTTCCAACAGACCTTACACCTTCTGAGGATGCCTGCCATAGATGCGGAAGAAACGTCAGGAGGGAATGCTTCTGGAACAGCCCGGAAAACCCACAGCGACCCAGTAAATAAAGAGCAACACTCAGAAAACGGGAATTCCAGACAGGAAACAATCAGGACCTGCTAATCCCTCCCAGCAAAGGATTCCCACCGAGGAAGGAAGCAGCCAGGCTTTGAAGCTGCAAGGCTTTGATGCTAATGAAGGTGGGCAATGGCAACATTCGCACTTGCCTCAAGCAGACAAGAGTTCTTTCTCCCACCCTGGACATCATTCCACATATATATATATATGTGATTCCCCCAGGCAGGAAGCAGCCAGGCTTTGAAGCTGCAAGGCCATTGAATGTCATATAAATCTCCCTTACCTAGTTCCCAACAGCAAGAAGCCAGGCTTTGAAGCTGCAAGGCCATTGAATGTCATAGAAACCTCCCTTGCCTAGTTTCCAACAGAAAGCAGCCAGGTTTTGAAGCTGCAAGGCCATTTGAATGCCATAGAAACTTTCCTTTGCCTAGTTTCCAACAGGAAGCAGCCAGGCTTTGAAGCTGCAAGGCCATTTGAATGCCATAGAAACTTTCCTTCACTAACAGGAAGCAGCCAGGCTTTGAAGCTGCAAGGCCATTTGAATGCCATAGAAACTTTCCTTCACTAACAGGAAGCAGCCAGGCTTTGAAGCTGCGAGGCCACTTGAATGCTATGTAAATCTCCCTTGCCTAGCTTCCAACAGGAAGCAGCCAGGCTTCGAAGCTGTGAGGCCACTGAATGTCATAGAAACCTCCCTTGCCTAACAGGAAACAGCCAGGCTTTGAAGCTGCAAGGCTATTTGAATGCTATGTAAACCTCCCTTTGCCTAGTTTCCAACAGGAAGCAGCCAGGCTTTGAAGCTGCAAGGCCATTTGAATGCCATAGAAACTTTCCTTCACTAACAGGAAGCAGCCAGGCTTTGAAGCTGCGAGGCCATTTGAATGCTATGTAAACCTCCCTTGCCTAGTTTCCAACAGGAAGCAGCCAGACTTTGAAGCTGCAAGGCCATTTGAATGCCATAGAAACTTTCCTTCACTAACAGGAAGCAGCCAGGCTTTGAAGATGCGAGGCCATTTGAATTCTATAGAAACCTAGTTTCCAACAAGAAGCAGCCAGACTTTGAAGCTGCAAGGCCATTTGAATGCCATAGAAACCTCCAACAGGAAGCAGCCAGGCTTTGAAGCTGCAAGGCCACTGAATGTCATAGAAACTTCCCTTGCCTAACAGGAAGCAGCCAGACTTTGAAGCTGCAAGGCCATTGAATTCTATGACATTCAGTGGCCTTGCAGCTTCAAAGCCTGGCTGCTTCCTGTTGGGAAGTTTCTATGGCATTCAAATGGCCTTGCAGCTTCAAAGTCTGGCTGCTTCCTGTTGGAAACTAGGTTTCTATAGACATTCAAATGGCCTCGCAGCTTCAAAGCCTGGCTGCTTCCTGTTGGAAACTAGGCAAGGGGGGTTTCTATGGCATTCGAATGGCCTCACAGCAGGAAGCAGCCAGGCTTTGAAGCTGCGAGGCCATTTGAATGCCATAGAAACCTAGTTTCCAACAGGAAGCAGCCAGGCTTTGAAGCTGCGAGGCCATTTGAATGCCATAGAAACCTCTAACAGGAAGCAGCCAGGCTTTGAAGCTATGAAGCCATTTGAATGCCATAGAAACCTCCCTTTGCCTAGTTCCCAACAGGAAGCAGCCAGGCTTTGAGATGCAGGCGAAACGTCAGGAGGGAATGCTGCTGCATACATGGCAAACCCAGAGTCTCCTCGAAACCCCGCCCACTCTACAGGCTAGCCGATGACGTCAGGGGGGAAAAAACCAAGGAAGCCCCGCCCCTTCTTTCTGCAGGCTAGCTGATGACGTCAGGGGGAAAAAAGCTCCGCCCCAAGCAAGCTCCGCCCACTCTTTCCTCTCTCTGTGCAAGGCAGCGCGGTGACGTCAGCGCGCACGCTGAACGTCGCGACGTCCGCCCTTGCTTCTGAGGCGCGGAGACCCCGCAGCGAGCTGCCAACGCCCGGCTCTGAGGGAAGAAGAGAAGAAGGAAGGAAGGAAGAGAAGGAGGAGAAGGTGAGCAGGGGCGGATGGCGGGGGGACGCCGCCGCCTGCCTTCGGGGACCCCGCTTCGCTGGGCGCCCTGCTCTCTTCCCAGGGCCTTCCTTCGCCTTTCCGCCCTCCCTTCGTCACGCGAGGCAGGCTTCGGGGCGTCGGCTAGGCCTCACTTGGGCCTACTGGCTTGGCTGACACTCTTCTCATTCTATATCCTCAGTAATAAGTATATTTAATGTAGGAGTATTATATATATGACAGGAAGGAGCCAGGCTTTGAAGCTGCAAGGCCATTTGAATGCCATAGAAACCTATTAATATTAATAATAATATCCTTACACATTATTGTATTATTAGTATTATGTTGTATTTCATTCTAACATTATCAATATTATATGTAGGTGTATGTATTACTATATGGCAGGGAGCATCCAGGCTTTGAAGCTGCAAGGCCATTTGAATGCCATAGAAACCTAATAATATTAATATTATTATTAATAATAATATTATTACATATTATTGTAGTACTAGTATTATGTAGTAATTCATCATAACATTATCAATATTATATGTAGGAGTATGTATTACTATATGACAGGGAGCAGCCAGACTTGGAAGCTGCAAGGCCATTTGAATGCCATAGAAACCTATTAATATTAATAATAATCTTACATATTATTGTAGTATTAGTATTATGTTGTATTTCATTCTAATATTATCAAAATTATATATGTATTATATGTATATATAATGCAGGAGTATTACTATATGACAGGAAGGAGCCAGACTTTGAAGCTGCGAGGCCATTTGAATGCCATAGAAACCTATTAATATTAATAATAATATTCTTACGTATTATTGCAGTATTAGTATTATGGTGTATTTCATTCTAATATCATCAAAATTATATATGTATTATATGTATATATTACTATATGACAGGGAGCAGCCAGACTTTGAAGCTGCAAGGCCATTTGAATGCCATAGAAACCTAATAATATTAATAATATTCTTACATATTGTATCCTCAGTAATAAGTATATTTAATGCAGGCGTATTATATATATGACAGGAAGGAGCCAGGCTTTGAAGCTGCAAGGCCATTTGAATGCTATAGAAACCTATTAATATTAATATTAATAATCATATTCTTACATATTATTGTAGTATTAGTATTATGTTGTGTTTCATTTTAATATTATCAAAATTATATATGTATTATATGTATATACAAAAATTATATAGGAGTATTACTATATGACAGGGAGCAGCCAGGCTTTGAAGCTGCAAGGCCATTTGAATGCCATAGAAACCTAATAATATTAATATTAATAATATTCTTACATATTGTGGTATTAGTATTATGTTGTATTTCATTTTAATATTATCAAAATTATATATGTATTATATGTATACACAAAAATTATATAAAATATATACTGTATTGTATATTCATATAATAAATATAATATATTGATATAATACAATAGTATTTTTACAGATCAAAATTATATATGTATTATATGTTGTATACACAAAAATTATATGAAATATATACTATATTGTATATACATATAATAAATATAATATATTGATATAATACAATAATATTGTTACATATTGTATTATTAGTGCTGTATTTCATTATAATATTATCAATATTATATGCATATAAATTTTTTATATGCATATTATACATATAATATAGTATATATTTTATACAATTTTTGTATATACATATATAATTTTGATAATATTAAAATGAAATACAACATAATACTAATAATACAATATATTTATTGTCTATACATATAATAAATATAATATATTGATATAATACAATAATATTGTTACATATTACTGTATTATTAGTAGTATGATGTATTTCATTATAATAATATATGTATATACAATGTATGCATATATTGTTACATATTATTGTATTATTATTAGTGTTGTATTTCATTATAATATTATCAATATATTTATATATAATAATATCATTACATATTATTATTATAAGTAGTATTATGATGTATTTCATTATAATAATATATGTATAAACAATATATACATATATTGTTACGTATTATTGTATTATTAGTGTTGTGTTTCATTATAATATCAATATTATATTATTTATATTATATAAATTTATTATATAAAATATGTATATTGTATTTTATATCAGCATAGCACAATATCAGTATTATATGTTACTATATACCACTATACTGCAATATTATTAGTAAGGTTATGTGCAATATATAATAATGAATATCAGTATAGCACAATATCAGTATTATATATTACTAGAGTCTATACCACTATACTATAATATTCTTAGTATAATATTCTTTATATTAGTATAATATTCATAGTATAATGTTCTTTATATTAGCATAGCACATAGCACAATATCAGTATTATATGTTACTATATTCTATCCCGCTATCCTGAAATATTATTAGTAATATTAAGTGCAATATATAATATTTTATGTTAACATAGCACAATATCAGTATTATATATTACTGTATTCTATACCACTATACTGCATTATTATTAGTAATATGTGAAATGTATAATATGTTATATCAGCATATCACAATGTCAGTATTATATATTACTATATTCTATACCACTAGTAATATGTGAAATACATAATATTTTATGTTAGCATAGCACAATATCAGTATTATATATTACTGTATTCTCTACCACTATACTGCAATATTATTAGTAATATTATGTGCAATATATATAATATTTTATATCAGCATAGCACAATATCAGTATTATATGTTACTATATACCACTATACTGCAATATTATTATTAATATGTGCAGTATATAATATTTTATATCAGCATAGCACAATGTCAGTGTTATATATTACTATATTCTATACCACTCGTAATATTACGTGCAATGCAAAATATTTTATATCAGCATAGCACAATATCAGTATTATATATTACTGTATTCTCTACCACTATACTGCAATATTATTAGTAAGGTTATGTGCAATATATAATAATAATATCAGCATTATATATTACTAGAGTCTATACCACTATACTATAATATTCTTAGCATAGCACATAGCACAATATCAGTATTATATGTTACTATATTCTATCCCGCTATCCTGAAATATTATTAGTAATATTAAGTGCAATATATAATATTTTATGTTAGCATAGCACAATATCAGTATTATTTATTACTGTATTCTATACCACTATACTGCAATATTATTAGTAATATTATGTGTAATATATATAATATTTTATATCAGCATAGCACAATATCAGTATTATATGTTACTATATTCTATACCATTATACTGCAATATTATTATTAATATGTGCAGTATATAATATTTGATATTAGCATAGCACAAAATCAATATATATTAGTATATTATATACCACTTTTCTGCAATATTATATTCTGTACCACTATACTTCAATATTATTAGTGATATTATGTGATATATATATATATATATGTATATGTGTGTGTGTGTGTGTGTGTGTGTGTGTATATATATATATATAATAACACAAGATACAACAGTTTATATTATTATGTATTGCTATAGTATTATACCACAAAATATATAATTATATATTGTGTATTATATATATTGTGGTATAATAATATACCGATACATAATAATATAAACTGTTGTATCTTGTGTTATATGGTTCTCAACCTGGGTGTTTTGGCCTACAACTCCCAGAAATCCCAGCGAGTTCACCAGCTGTTAGGATTTCTGGGAGTTGAAGGCCAAAACATCTGGGGACCCACAGGTTGAGAACTATTGGTCCACATATTAATGGCGCTCGCTATAACCTGAAATGTCATTTGTGGGAGGGCTTTTGGTGGAAGTGGGAGCCTGTCTGTGGAAGTGGACACCCCAGCCACACACACACACACATATTTTCACTTTTATTATGTGTATAGGTAGATACTTTATGATATCATCTGTATAAATAAAAATGTAATGTTAGTTTGTGGGATTAACATAACTCAAAAACCACTGGACGAATAGACACCAGATTTGGACACAATACACCTAACAGTCCAACGAGTGTCCATCACCCCTACACACACAAACACAAAACCCCAGCGGAACAGACTTAAAAACCCCAAAATACACCATAAATACACTCAGATACATATATGCATGCATACACACACATGTATATATATGCACAAACACACACAAATATACACACACATACACATGCACACACATATACACAAAATGAATGTACACATATAAACACACAAATATATAAACATATATACACAGATATACACACAAATATAGACAAGCACACACATATACACAATATGCATGTACACATATAAATACACAAATACACACATACATATACACACACATACACACACACACACACATATACATACACATACAAACACAAAACCCCAGCGGAACAGACTTAAAAACCCCAAAATACACCATAAATACACTTAAATACATATATACATGCATATATTCATACACATATATATATATGTACAAACACACACAAATATATACACACATACACATACATATACACATGCACACATACATTTATACATATACACATGCACACACATATACACAATATGAATGTACACATATAAACACAAATATAGACAAGCACACACATATACACAATATGCATGTACACATATATATACACACACAAATGCACACATATACACAGTATGCATGTACACACACATATGTACACACACACATAAACACACATATACACAAATATATACACACACATAAACATATACAGTATACACACATAAACACATATACAGTATACACACACAAAACACACATACACAAACTGGGCCACAGCAACGTGAGGCAGGGGACGGCTAGTGTTGTAGTATATATAATTTGTGAGAGGTTGGTTGGTTGGAAGAGAATAATAATAATTAAGGTACTTTCCTATTTGATGCCCACGATTGACCCTGCAGAAGTCC